CATTGTTAGATCAGCGCTGCATTGTGTGATGGTCGGGAGTGTGATTTCTTGGCCAGCATTGCCAACACCCTAAACCCAAAACCCTAAACCCTATACCATGCGGGAGGTGCCTCTCATGATCCAGACTCTGGCCATCGCGTAGCCTCCAAGCCATTGAGCCGCGCGTAAACCCGGACTAAACCTTAAAACCTTACACCGTCTCATCCTTGATCCAAAACAGCAGCATTCCTGAGTCTACGGCCTGAAAAACCTGAAGCAAAAGCTAGCCTAAAACACTGGAGCCAACGCCGAAGCAAGGTTTCCCCGATATGCCCCTATAAATTCTAAACCCTAATCCCAAAGGGAAGTCTGACTCAAATCCGCCTGAGATCGCCCGCGGCGTTGAACCCAATGTGGCGGAGCTCTCGAGCTTCACAGTTAGCCATGCCGAGGCGTTGTGGACATGGGTTTAGGCTTTAGGGTTTAGGGGTGAACGGTTTATGGCTGAGGGGTTTAGGGTTCAGGCTTTAGGGTTTAGGGGTTTAAGGGTTTAGGGTTTAAGGGTTTAGGGTTCAGGGATTGGTTCAGAGTTTAGAGTTTCTGTCTGGGACTGGGATCATCAGGTTGGAAGTTATGGGTTTATGACTTAGGGTTTAGGGTTCCGGGCTCTGGGTTATGGGTTTTAGGCTCACCATGGCCACAAGCCTGGCGTGTTCCGTAGACAGCCATCTGTCTTTGTTCCAGTCCCTCGGCATCACACGTGAATTCTTGTCAAACTGGAAGAGACTGGAAACACCTCCTTAAGCCCGAGGATCTTGGAACTATGAAGCCTATGCCCAAAACCTGCGGCATCCCTGACGGTTCCTGGCAAGCGATAGGTTTTAAAGAAAGTGGAAGCGAAGCGCGCCCTCGCCTCAACTTTTTGGCTTCAACGCTCTGTCCTTCAGGTGCTAATGTAGGCGCCTTACTAATCATAGAATAGGGTTTTGGGGGCTCCTTACTATAACTATAGTAGAGTATACGCTCAAACCTTATTCTGATTATTAAGGCCCCTCTTGTAGGCGTCAGGTTGTGGGAATTGAGGGTTCTGGGTCAAGGGACCCGCAGATACCGCAGCTGCAGCAGAGTTACCGGGCCAAGGATCCTTCCCGTTCCGGGACCCTCCTTACAGGGGTTAGGGGTACATGGTCCCCAAACCCTGAACCCTAAACCCTAAACCGATGAAGGCATTTATAGGGTCTGACAGAGGGTAGATGGAGGGTCTAGGTTTGATGCCCTTGGCAGGTACCTTCAAAGGCTGACCGCAACGACCCAGATACTCACCTCTAAGACCCCCACAAACCCTCAACCCCAGGGCCCCAAACCCCAAACCCCCAAACCTACGGTTGATGATCAAGATCCTGCATTACCTATTATAAGGAATAAACCAGAATTCCCATAGTTTAGGGTCCTTAAGGTAATGCAGGATTTATATCATTAACAGTAGGGCCCCAAACCCAAAACCCCTAAACCCAGGGCGGCAAACCCAAAACCCCTAAACTTACAGGGCCCCAAACCCCAAAACCCCTAAACCCAGGGCCCCAAACCCAAAACCCTAAACCTAGGGCCCCAAACCCAAAACCCTTAAAACCCAGGGCACCACACCCAAAACCCCTAAACCCCTCAAGCCGTAACCCACGGCAGAAGGCCAAGAAGGCGGCTTCCAAGGCTGCCAAGAAGGCGGCCAAGAAGGAAAAGAAGGAAAAGAGGTGCTCGGGGTTCAGAGTTTAGGGTTTCAGGGTTTTAGGGTTTAGTTTAGGGTTCAGAGTTTAGGGTTTCAGGGTTTTAGGGGTTAGGGTTTCGGCGTTTGGGGGTTTCGGGTTCAGGGTTTCAGAGTCAGTTGAGGGTTAAAGGTTTATAAGCCTTAAGGGATCAGGGCTGAGGGATCAAGATTCTGGAGGGTTTAAGGGTTCAAGGTCTAGGATTTTAGAGTTCAGGGTTAAGGATTACGAAGGGTTAAAAGGTTACAGGTTTAGGGTTCAGGACCCATGAGTTCTAGCACCAGCAGCTCCGTTCGATAATGTCTAGTAATCTACGTTCGGATTTTGGAGATGAGCGTGGCCGCCACCCACCATTCCCTAGATCCTCAGCCCCTAAAGCAGGCGTGCAAAGAAACGTTTGAAGAAGCAGGCGAAGCTCGAGAAGAAGGCCGCGTAGCGTGCATCCGAGACAGTTTGTGATTTGTGATATGACACCGATACATTGTGAGAACACAACTCTATAAGAACCCCATATAATAGAAATAATAGTAATAATAATAATAGTAATAATAATAATAGTCATAATAGTAATAATAATGATAATCAAAATAACAATAATAGTGATAATCATCATAATACTAGCAATAATAAGACCAAACGCCTGCCAGATCCGGGCAGGCCGCAAAGGAGCAAGCGCAGCAGAAGCGCAGGCGACACGAGGCCTTCCGGTGACACCTTGGTTTTTCTGTGCCCCAAGCCCCCCCCAGATACCTACTAGGGTTTAGGGTTTAGGGTTAAGGGTTTTGGGTTTTGGGTTTAGGGTTTAGGGTTTTGGGTGTTGTCGCATTGGTTTTTTGTGCCTTGGGTAATGTAGGGGCCTAAATAATTAGAATTGGGTTGTGGGGGTATTATACTATATTTATAATGCATTGGTTTTTTTTGTGCCCTTGGTAGGGTCTTCCCATAGGCCCCTAAGTAGTTCCTTTTTATGGTTTATATTTAGAATCCTCCTTGGTAATGTATAGGGGCCTAAATAATTAGAGTAGGGTTTTGGGGGTTACTTATTAGAAAATAATAGTATAGTGGGCCCCAAAACCCTATTCTAGTTATTAAGGCCCCTATATTACCTTGGTTGGGTCTTCCCCTCGTTCTGCAGGGCTCCAGCTGCTCCTCTGCTGAGATCGAAGTGTCATCGAGCCAAAGTGATGACAGCTGATGTGCAGAAAACAGTGGCCCAGTTGTGATGGCTCCTTGGATATGCGCGTGTGGGATCCGAGTCCTAGCTACAAGCACTCCAGTGTGCCGTGTGACGTCGAACTTAATGCGAAGCGCCAGAGAAGACAAGCCGATGACCGAAAGTGGCGCTGCCGCTTATGATCCGCGCTACATTTATCGCTGATGTAGCATGTGCGCTGTCGACTGCGGAGTTAGATGCGGCTCTCGGCTGCAATTACAATATGGTGATGATGTTTTGCGTGAGTTTCCCAGCGTCGGAGGATGAAGGTCATGCGACGCGTTTTTCTGTCGCTGTCTTGCACCTCGCAAAGACTGAGATCAATTCTTGTTTTGCGAGGTCGCTTCTTTCCTCAGCCTGTTCCTTGACATAGTTCTTTTCTTGGAAGTGCTCAGTGTTGGAGTTTGTTGCGGATATAGTCGAATATAGCTTTGCAGTTTGTCTTGCTGGCCAGGTTGCGTGATGGGGTCGATAGTCATGGGTGAAGACAAGCATTCTCTGCAACAGGAGCCGTAGATGCTGGCTTAATGTGCAATTTCCCTCCTGGAGCGGTTTCGAGAGTCTGCTCGATGCTCGAGTGAAATGGCTCCGTCTCTAGATTGCCAGCATCTGGAACGAATGTGCTCCACCCCCGACCAAGAATCATTCCCCTGCTTGCTCCCTGAGGACGTCTGCTTGCTGTGTGGGTAGTGGCGAAGTTACCGTCGTTTGCTGCTGGAATGCCTGCAAGGTTTGGATGTCCATGAGGTTTTCATTCATGGCAGCGTCTGAGAACGGTGGTTCGGAGGCTTGTTCAGTTGGCTGCGCAAGTCTAAGAGGCTACAGGTTTTTTGGATGGCGCAGGGCTCATAGGTGCCACATGGTTCAACATAGGGTCTGCTAGGCTGCTGGTGTCCGAGACACCCTGATTTCCGAGACATGCGCTCTTCACATCAAAGTTCCGCAGATTGGGTCCAAGCAAGGCAGACCTACGGTACCCCGTCAGTTGCTCAAAACACGACGTGCCTTCCAAATCCTTCCAATGCAGGCAGCACCACAGTTTGCTCGTCGCCATGTACACGCGCACCTCAACTAGGATCCATTCCGCGGCGCATCTGCGATGTCCGCTCTGGCAGACCGCCTTGCGCGGCTTGAGCGCGTCTTCGTGGAAGCGTCCATTGCACAATCGGCTGAAGGCTTCGTCCAGCGCGTAAAGCGGATCGAGCATGTCTGCTTCGGCTCAGAGGCCTCCGGCACGCTGCCCCAGCGCATCCGGGAGCTGGAGATCGTCACCTTCGGCGAGCACTCCGAGCAAGCAAAGCCTCCACTTGTCAACCCCGACCTTCCGGAGGCCCAGGCAGATATTGGGTTCTTGTTAAGGGATTCTATTTGAGTTACCACAATGGGGATCTATAGTAAATAGTATGGTTTCTTGATTAATTATGGCAACTTAAATAAGATCACGTATAACAAGAGCCCAGGATTGTGAGCCCTCGGCGTGCGCAGCCGCGTCTCACGAGGTGGAGGAACCCGAAGTTTCGGCCCTTCCCGCTGCCAAGCGGCCGCGACATCAGGATCCCGAGCAAGCCTTCCAGCTGTTGGGGAATGCAGGGCCGGCGGCTAGCAACCCAGCAGCCTTCAAGAAGTTTCCGCTTCGGGAGGAACAGCTGAGATCCCTCGCTTGGATGTATGCACAGGAGGCTCGCAGTGAGGGTTTGAGGGGGGGACTGCTTGCAGACAAGATGGGATATGGCAAGACGGCCACAACCATCGGCCTTCTTTCAGAAGACCGACCCTCAAACAGCCCGAGCCCGAGGCCGTGGGGCTACATCAAAAATCCTGCAACTCTCATCATGTGCCCTCCACACCTTGTGGAGCAATGGGAAGGGGAGTTCATCAAATTCCTCGGCGAAGAAGGCATGCAGCTCTATCGCGCAGCTGCGCCCAAGGGGACTCACGGTCGCAGTCGCTTCTCAATCACCATCACAATGTCCACTGATAACTTCCCCTTGGAACTGGTTCATGCTGCATATGGCAAGACCTGGATCGTGTCAGAGCTGAGTGAAGAGATGAAGCGGCAGAATCAACGCGCGAACCCGAAGAAGCGGGTTGCTGCTGGTGATGCGGTGGAATACGTGCGGCTGGAATCTGCGCAGGGCGTGGTGAGGGAGTTGGTTTTGAGCCACTTTGACGGACATGCGTTTGCAGAGTTGAAGACGCATTGCAAAGCAGGTTGCAAGGTGGATCTTCGAATCTTCCGTGACCGGCCAAGCCGAGCTCGCCTTGAGCTTACAAAGGGCACGGGGCCTCTCAAGATCCTAGCCATTGCCGACATCATGGAGATGAAGCGCCTTCGACTAGAATGTTTGCAGGAGGACTTCCATGTGGTCCTTGCGTCCACACGGCTGTTGGCTTCGGACACCCACAACAACGACCTTAGGCAGACTCTGAGCATGTGGCGGCCTGAGTCTGAGAATGACTGGTTTGCAGTGGCTTGGAGTCCGTCGATGGCCGCCAAGCAACGGGCCCTGCACGAGTGCGTGGAACAATGGCATGAGAAGGAGAGCTTTCTGGAGGCGGCACTCCGCACCGCGCCTGTCATGTTCGAGACCATGTGGTGGCGGAGAGTGGTCCTCGATGAGTTTCATGAGACGGAATCTTGGAAGACTGCGGTGCGTGAGGTCTTGAAGTCCATCGGTGCCACTCACCGGTGGGGTCTCTCCGGCACTCCGCCACTGGGCGACGTGAACTCCGTCTTGGAAGTTGCTGAGCTTCTGAATTACGTGCAAGATGAGAGTTCTCCCACTATGGCACTGGCTTTCAAAAAGGGACAGTCAAGCAAACTGAAGCGAGAGGACATGCAGAAAAAGCTCCATGAAGAATGTCAGGCCATGATCTCCGGCTTCGTGCGGCAGAACTCCTCGGCACTCGTCGAAGCCATTGCTGTAAGAGAACACACCGAGTTCGTGGAACACACGGTAGAGGAGCGCTTGATCTACCGTCAAGCGTGTCATGACCACGGCGTCTTCGACCTTGAGGCAGCTCGCTGCGAAACCACTCGTCGAAGCCTGGTGTACATGCAGAGTCCCCCGGGTTCATCTCTCTTGGTCCTAGTCTCACTATAGAGTGAGGCATTGTCTGGTTTGAGTTCTGTCAGGCTGGCTACGGCACTGCGAGCGCAGAGGTGCGGATGCAGCTCCTCCAGCGATGTGCTCACTTCTGCCTCCACACTGACGCCGAGGACACAGGGCCTATATCGCAGGGGGAAAGATCCCCACCCGAAGTCCCTGCAGGATGCGTCGGCGGCTGTGCGCCTGCTCGGCGCCAGCAAGCGTGCCCGCATCCAGGCTTTGCGCCGGCAGCTGGACATCGAAGCCTGCCGTGCAGCTCTCCTGTGCCGCGGAGAACACTTGCGAAGCGGTTGTGTGAAATCGCCTTGTAGATTACTTCTTTGTCTGGGCCGAAGGAATAACAGAATGGTGTCTGCCTATCAGCAAAGGTCCTCCTGGCCAGATGCACGGGCTGGCGGGCTCCAGAATGTCCGGCACCCCGAGGCCGCCAAATTTGTCGGCGAACTGCTAGAATCCACCACCGGAGCGATCAAGGACAAAGACCCAAATCAGCAGTGCCTAGAGACTAAGATCGAGCTTTACGACCAGCATGGTGAATTGCGGTTGCGTCCGGAAGTGCGCTTGCAGCAGCCCGTGAGAGACACGGAAGTCTACCCACGACTATCGGATCGCCACACTGTGCTGCACGCAGTCGTTCGAGCTAGACCGTCAGCACTGTCCGAGGAGATCCTTTCAGAGATGGCTATTTGTGCGCAGACATGTCGGGGCAGCAATGTGGCCCAGAACCTCACGAGGGCCCTCGCAGGTGGTTTGCAGACACTCGGCGAGCTCCTGGATGCAGCGCACCGAAGCTTGGACTTCTATAACTGGCAGATGCGTGGATTACACGGTGCAGAGCTCGCAGGCTACACTTGCTCCATTTGCTTGTGTCCTGCAGATTCCTTGGCTGATCTGGCCATGCTCCCTTGTTCCCACGTGTTTCACAGGTCTTGCATTCTTCCAGCTTTGCATCAGCAGCATCGCTGCCCGGAGTGCCGCCAAGAAGCCTCGAGTCGCACCATGTCCTCCGTCCTGCTCGAGGTGCAGGAGCAGGAGCGCTCAGAGCGCGCAGAGCGCGCAGAGCCCGAGGCCAAAGAGCTGTCTCCCGAGCTGCGGAAGCACGGATCGAAACTCCATGCCATTGCATCGTGCCTCCGCAAGATCCGGACGGAAGATGCCACTGCAAAGGCCATCGTCTTTGTACAATGGGAAGGGTTGCAAAACAGAGTCGCAGAGGCACTTCGGACTCACCAGCTGCCTGTTCTGCAGCTTCCACGTCGGAGCGGTGGCAGGGCGATGGCAACAGTCATGCAAAGGTTTTGCACAGCTGCGGACTGCTTTGTCCTGCTACTTTCCTTGGACAATGTGGCATCAGGAACCAATCTCACAGCAGCCAACCATGTCTTTTTTGTGCATCCCATGAATGCCGACACACTTAGCACCGCAGTCGCCTACGAGAAGCAGGCGCTTGCTCGAGTTCGTCGTGTTGGACAGATGAGGAGCGAAGTTCATGTGTGGCGCTTTGTGACACGGCATACAGTCGAAGAGCACATTCACAGCCTCCACCAAAGACATCAGCAGGCAGCTGGAGGTGCATGAGCTCATTTTGGGAATGATTGTTGGCCGACGCGTAACCAGACATAGACATTCCATAGTTACATAATGTTTGAACCACGCAAAATAGTGGACAACCCTCTGGTTCAGGTGCAGTAGCAGAACCATACTCAATCTTGGGGACATGGTGGAACATGGGCTGCTGAAAGCCAGCGGCTTTTCACCAAACCTCTTGGGGAGTTGAGGTTTGCGGGGAACGCTGGGGTGCTGATGAGGATGCCGAGCAGCGATAAAGATAAAAGACGCACCTTGATGCACCAACATGCACCAGATGTTCGCTGTGCTTTGTTAGTCTCGCCCACCGAATTCCCAGCCTAGACTCATATGTGTATAGACTTTCTATCACTAGGCATATTGCTATTTCATGTAATCTAACTAATATATATATATATAGAGTCATACACTTACACCCATACACACAATTCTGTGCTTGCCTAGTGCACAGCATCTCACAGACAACAAGCTGGCCAGACAGAGCCTCTACCCGTTTGCGACGGCACTAATTCCACTCCAGGTCTTGTCTGTCCGCCGACATAGCACTTCGGCATTTGAATAATTCCTGTCTGCGCTATGAAGCCGGACTTTGAGGTGAAGCACATGGCCGCAGCTTTTCAGCATCGAGTGGCATGATCTTGTGCAGGATAAGTCCATATGAAGCGGTCGGGCGCATGGACAGCGTAGCCACCATCATGACCAGAGCAATTGTGACGGAGTAGTGCAAACAGACTGCCCGATCGCTACCCGTTTCGACCTCGACGGAGCATCGCAAGCACTGCTCTGCATTTGACCGCCTCATGGGCATCCATGTTTTTCCAGGCTGTGAAAAGTAGAGTGTGACCTCTTCGTTCGGCGAATCCAGGAAGTTTGGGTGTGGACCTAGGTTCACAGTAGCACGTAGACACAGTCATAGTAGCAGTGAGAATGGTTGGCCATCATACATTTCGCACACCAGCACTCTGGCCCGACATCTGCCAATCCGGCCTCTGTTGCCGGTCTGAGCTATCCGGCATGGTTTCCGCCATTCTCGCTCGGCGGCTGGAGGACTGTCAGTGCCACCACGTCAGGTACCATGTGGGCGGACTCTGTATGGGCAGCGTTCTAAACTCTCGTGTTGGCGAGAACATGTCGGCGAACATTGATGCATTTGGGGGCCTAACACAATGCTGCGGGGCACTCTTGTTGGGGCAGCGACATCACGTTATGCAATATAATGTGAAGTAAGGTTTTTTCTATATGTACATGTGTGTATACCAACATTGATGTCAACATCAAGGTCAATGTAGATACATATATCATGTATACATGTATTTGCATGTACATATATGTGCATGCATGTATGTATGTGTGTCTGTATGTATGTATGTCTGTAGGTATGTATGTAAGTAGGTAGGTAGGTAGGTAGGTATGCATGCATGCATGCATGCATGCATGCATGCATGTATGTATGTAAGGATCTCCTTAGTTAGGGCCCTTAACACAGTAATTTGTGCCTTCCACAGCGTTTCTGGCTTTGTTCCCAAAGGTATCGAGAATGCTGTCTCATGCTGCTGCACCTCTTGCTCCCTCCGTCCGCAAGGAAAGTGATGTCGAGGTCGTCAGCATCCATGCCAGGATCCCGGCAGCTATTCGCAGATGTCCGATCGCAGCTTATACCTGCTCAGCTGCGTCATTTAACCTAAGCCAGGTTATAATTCTTCTATTGTGTGCAACTTTTTTTGTATACTTTGCATGATATGCTTTTATGGGCTGTTCAATCGTGCTGCCACGGCCGAGCTCCTGGATTTCGGGCCTCGAGGCAAAGTTTCAACTAGGAGGATTTTCAGTTCGGGGTTTAGGGTTCGGCGCTAGCCGCCCCTATAGCTAATAGGATCCTTGTTATGCTTGCAATGTGCTTTTGTTAGGAGTTTCGCAGCCGGGGACCTGAATAAGTACCAACAGCTTTCCTTGGAACGCTATCGACTTTATATTTTATTTACACAGCCCTTTTCTGCCTACCCGGGGTCCAGAACCACTGCAAGCCCTACAGATCCCTCAGTGGACCGAACCTGCCGCTGCTAGCCGCTGCTAATCCTAACGTGTTCGGGGCTCTAGTACCCTATATACCCATAGGCTCCTTAGTAGTTCCTTTTGGGGATTACCTTATAGGATTCTAAATATGAACCACAAAAAGGAACTACTTAGGAGCCTCTGGGTAGTAGGTACCTGGGGGGATAGGGGAAGGTAGCGCCATGCTCGGCGACTTCCGGGTTCACTCTGAGGGCTGTGTGGTTTCGAGGAAAAAAACCCCTCGGCTGAGGGCCTGGATCCTCCTTTTCTCGGCCCCAAGCGTTCCTGGATGTTTTTGGCCCAGAGATGGTTGTTACTTGTAGAGCGATTTTTTGGGTCGGGCCCAATGGAGGGTAGCCCTGCAGAGCCGGAGATCCTGCGGCGACTCGAACGCTTGGAAGCGAAGGTGGAGGCAGAAAACCAGGAGCTTCGCTCTGAGTTGCTGAGGTTGAAATACCGCCTTCAAGCAGAGCCGACTGAGCAGAGCAGCGTCTCTGAGTCCATGGAGTGCGAAGGGAAGGCGAGCAGCCCGATTATGACCTACCACTCCTTGGAATCCTCATTTTGGGATGCCCTGCTGTTGGCAGGGCTGGACATGACAGGCCTAGCGGGAACACTGATAATCATCCTGGGCGTGATGATCAGTGCCAGCCTACAACTTCTTTCTATCTGGATTGTTTTCAATTTCTTCTTGGACAAGGATGACAAGTACAAATTGGGTGATTTGAGGGACTGGCGTGTTTTGTACGGGCACAATATCAACTACCTGGACTCCGATGCTGGGTCTTCGCTAGTTGCAAAGATTTGCAATGGGGGACTGGTTGACCGCGCATGGTGGCAATTTCAGTTGCTGGACGAAGTTAACAAGTACCTCCATCCCTTGTTCCCAGGTGCCGATGGCCTTGGCGTCGGGGTTGTATTGTCCAGCTGTGCATTGACAATCTGGATTTTCAACATCACTGCGGAGTTGCAAAGCATTTGGAGCTTTACCTGGTCCGTCTGGCGACTGCCTCGCAGACAAACCCTGGTTTTGACAGAGTCTGCCCACGAAAAAACTCGGGTCTTGCAGAGCATCAGCTGCGGCCGCCTCTTTTTGCTGACTGTCATGTTAATGGTACGCACAGGTATCGCGGTGTCCCTGGGTTGGGCCGGAGCGTGTTGGCTCGCAGTTACCCCGGACATCAAGGACATCTTGCTCAATGCTGTCGCTCTGTTGTTTATTCTGGAGATTGACGAGCTCCTGTTCAAGGTGCAGGGAACAGTGAATCAAGAATCAAAAGCAGTCAAAGCAGTCAGCTGACACTTGCAGGATTCGTTCAAAGCTTCTTCCTTGCACTTCCGCCTGACTGCGTTTCCTCCAAGTCCTGGCACCAAAACACGCCATCGAGCTCATGTCCTCGATTCGCGCGCTCCAAGTCGGCCACAGAAAGACTTGGGCAGGAGTGCAAAGTACTTTGTGTAATTCATGTCTTACGAGCACATTTTATTAAAGGAGTTGCTTCACACTTCATTGTCCTACATCGTTGTTTGGCAGTGGTATTCCTTGTCCGGTTGCGGCGGCCT